GGAGCCGAGGGTCCGCGTCCCTGTAACACACCGCCGAGGAAAGGGAGAGATGGAGTGGGAAACGTCGGAGAGCGGGGTGTTCCGAGGGGGGKTTGGCTGCCTTGAGAGCTTCCGGCTTGAGCCAGGGCCCTGTGGAAGTGGCCTGGGAGCGCTGACGGGTGGGTGAGGATCAACTCGGCCAACGTTCAGTCCTGGAGAAATCTGAGAGCTGGGAAGTACCCGTGGTGACTGCTGTGTGTGCTCCTGGCACCTGTGTGCCTTAAGATCCCTTCCTGYGGGGCGTGTGAAGGGCATCAAGACACCAAGAGGTTCAGGCTTAGGCAGAGACTTCTAGAGTTCCATACCCCATGGAAGAGAGGGTGCCCAGAATGTGCCGATCGGGATGCCAAAGCTTCGGGATCTTCAGGTTTTTGAGAGTCTCATGTAGTGACCAGGCTTCAGAAACCTGGGCCATGTGCAGCTTTAATAGCATAGGCACAAATTTACTGAAATGTTAGATATCCCTTTAAAGCTGCTGTTTTATATGGATGTCTGTTAATTTTGCTGTTTGTGCATTTTATGTTGTTGATGTAACTGAATACTTTTATGACAATAAAATTCTTTGACTGCTGTAACGTAAAAAAAAAAAAAAATGTCATCTTCAGCCATCAGAAATACAGAGCTATCCTGAAGAAGGAAAAGCGGAAAAAAAAGCGCCAGGCACTTGCTAAACTCAGAGATTCAGGTAAGCCCGTTTTATTGCRTTTTGTATTGTCAGTTAAACTTTGGTTTTAACAAGACATCATTTTGTGCATTGCTGTTTGTAACATCCAAACATTCAATCARTTAGATGTAGTGTTTCAATCTTTTTTTTTTTCCCCTTCCTCTCAGAAGCTACAGAAAAAGATGAATCAATGTCTGAGGAGGAAGAAGATGAACTGGAAGAGGAGGCGGAAGAAGAGGAAGAAGAAGAAAAAAAACTTGAGGCAGAAAGGTCAAAAATCTAGGAACTGAAATCTGTTCAGCTTCTAATCAAATCTATCATAGTAAATTAAAAAGTAGCAGCATGCTGTGTAAAATAGAATTTATACAGCTTTTTACAAAACCTTACTATTTCCCATAGAAATTCCTAATTCATGTCTGATAAGCTGCAGTTAATGCTGATCTACAAAATTTAAATTGTATGGTTTGRTTATTTGATTGATCACATGAAAGTATGTGCACAATTGCACTGATTATAGAGAGTCATTACAATTTTCCTAAGCGGTGTCTTGTTTTGTTGGCAGACAAAAACTACATGAGCAGTGGTTGCAAAGAGAAGAAAAGGCCCAAGAAGAGTTCAAACTTAAGAAAGAAAAAGAAGAGGCTGCAAGAAAACGTCAGGAAGAAGAAGAGGTGATGTATAGAATGAGAATCCTAGTTGACAGGCAACAGGAGAAATTTAGCGTAATATCTTCTCCTTAGCAGACCTAGTTTTCTTGACAATGATGTTTGGAAACATAAGCCCCCCCCTTTTTTTTCATTTTAGAAGCACAAGACTAAGAATTTTCTAGCCATTTTTAAAGTTCCTTAAAAAGATTTTTCTCCAGAGATTTGTTTACTTATGACTGAACAAATACTTGATGATCAAAGAGTAACACAGCATGATAGTTTTGAACTTGGCTGCAGTGATTATAAAGCATTCATTTGTTTTCTACTTTTTTTTTTTATTCTAAAGAGAAAGATCAAAGAAGAATGGGAAGAACAGCAAAGAAAAGCGAGAGAAGTAGAACAGCAGAAGCAACAGCAGAAGAGAGAAAGAGAGGTGATTCCTGCATTGGGAGGATAAACATATTACATATCCTCTCRCATTACCAGATGCAACAGTCTATGCATGCTGAGGAAGTATTTTATTCTAATCAGTGAATGCATAAATGTGTTAGTTACTTCCTCTCTCCATTCTGTCTAAATTGCTGAAAAAATACTTCCTTGAAGTACATGGATCTGGTGAATACACACAGGTAGAAGGGTAACTAATTTTAATCCATCTGGTTGCTCGTAATACATTTCCTCTATATTTTTATACATCAGCTAGACACAAAGATGTGCTGCCAGTGCATCTGATACGTGGCCTTTTTGCATTTTGTGTTAAAGATAATGCTTATTTAATGTTTCTTACATGAACACAGTCAGTGTTGAAGAAAATTCCTGATGAGGATATGGAATATGGCATTACACTTTTGCTGTTCCTTAACATAGTTCTTAATCAAAAAGATATATTGCAGCTCTTCTTTACCTGACTCATCCAACAGGATGTATCTTTTGTTTTCAGAGCTCCTTGGGTGGGAAAGATAATTTGACTGAAGATACTGTTGAAATTTCTGTTAACTGTGCATTCCTCTTAGATTTTAGAGTTTGAATTACTGGGATGTGAGATGCCCTATGCAAAAATCAGAAGTGAGGACTGACCTACCATCAGTAACAGGGCTTGCAGATTTCTAGGATCTCTCTCATTAACTGCTGTGCAGCTGCAAAAGATGGAAGGTTCTGGCCAGTGCTGCTGGAGATGTCATGCTAAAAATGCTGATTGGATTCACCATTTTCCTAGCTCTAGTCACAGTAAGAGAAAAGAAATAAGCAAAGAGTATTTTGTCCTGCATTTAACAGTTGATAGTGTCACTAGTTACATAACACTTCCACGTGAAGAGAAAGAAGAGCAGTTTCTGTATTTCCTGCCCTCCTTCCTCTTGTGTCAAGTGTTCCTTCCTCTCTTTGCAGAGTAGGGAGAGAAAATGTTTGCCTTTTTTTTTTTTTTTTTTTTAATTTAATGTTGAGATATGGTTAGAAGAGAACTGAGCCATGCTCACAGCAGGATTTTATTCGCTCCTTTTCATTTTGTCAGGGTTTATCTATCTGATCTTTCAGTGGGTTAATTGGTTCCCTGAATTTGTGGAAGCTGCTTTCTGTGTTTTTGATGTTATTTGCTTTTTCTTCCCTTCACTGACTATTTTACGGATTTAGTGAGCTGAATTGGCTCATGGGGGGCTCGAGCACCAAGCAGGCTCTAGGAGTGCCCAGCTGGGTGTGGAGCCACCCACTTTGGCAGCCAGGAGTTGTTAGATTGACTTTCCRCGTCTCGTGAAACAGTGGCATCCTATTAAAATTCTGATTTTATTAATTTATAGAAGCCTCTCTTTTTTYYTTTTYYTTYYTTTTTTTTTTYCCCTCTATAATACAGGAAAACAGATTTGCTGGCTGTTTTTTCTTTCTCCCCAACAGCATGGGTAGTGTCTGATGTACATGATGATTAATACCAGATGCTCTCTGGGTACTCATCTTGGATTGCATTTTTTTTTCCTACTTGGTCTTCCTCTTTGTTACTTAATTCTCTTTCAAATTAGCACAATGCTAGTATACATTCCTGTGTTGATTTTATATAAATGTCTTTATTTTTGGAACTTCCTAGAATTAATACGCTAGAACTGGAAAATTTGACTTCGTCGCTTTGCTCACATCACTTAGAGGAGGGAAGGGACTGTATGTTCTCTCACTTTCTGTGTTTGCAAGACTAGATGAACTAAGACTTATCAGGTCTCTGATAAACTGACTAAAAGCTACTCATTTTACTTTAGCAGAAGCTCAATAAGCAACATGTTTTGTGTTACAAAATGTTCTAGGTTAAGAAGTTTGGCGKAACTAAATGATTGTGCATTTAACAGTAACTAAGCAGAGTACTAGTGCAAGAGATGCATTTAAGTATTGAGTAGTTCAACCATGGTTTGAAAAAAGAGAGAAAATGCCACTTTAAATTCTATAGCATTTAGATTAAAAAGTTCATCAAATGAAAGTTTTCAGATGTATCCTTTGACAGCTTTGTAGTGTGTGAGCTACTGCAAAGCAAAAGTAAAGCTTCTGTTTTTTAAAGCAAAACTCATCAAACTTGCATTACATGTAATCAGTTTTGTAAATTAGGTTCTTAACTGAAGAAACCAGATGTTTTGCGTGTCCTCAGGGTTTTCACTAGTCCTGTGTTTGCACCATTTATAGGCGGCAGTGCAGAAGATGCTGGATCAAGCTGAAAGCCAGGTATGTTCAGAGAGTTTTCCAAAAATAAATGATTTACTTTCTACCTAGTGTTTTCCTCCTAGCATGTTATCCACCTGCTCTGAAGAACTTAATGGTCTGAGTAAACTTAGTGTGTAGTGTTCTGCATTAGCTGTAAGTAGTGTATTTATTGGGTATAACATAGCCATTTTTGAGACTGTTTGGTAGCTGTGTAGTTGTACATGCTCATTACTGCTGAGGAGATCTGAGTCTAATATGAATCTGGAAAGTCTGTTTTGTAGGCTGTTTAAGAGCTCCACATGAAGGTACGTTAGTGAGGTCGAACGCTAAATAAATCTGCTAGTCCTTCTGGGTGGCGAGACAGCTTGCTGCTCAAGCAGATGGTAGGATTTGAATCAAAGTAGTCAGCAGCAGAGCAAGGCACAGCTTTTTTTTGCTGTTTTTTTTTTCTCCATTAAGAAAATAGAGAGAAGGAGCATGTATGCTGTTTGTGTGCTTTTTACTCTTAGAGAGGTTGAACTAGTTTTTTCTTTTTCCTTAACATTCTGATCTTAAAATCCTTGTCACATCGTTACATTTGTGTAATTTTTTTTGTCTTAGACTACTGCATGAATCTGAAAATCAAATTTTACCCTAGTTACCAGTTGTTAGTTGTTTGTCACTAGCTATATTGGAATTATGTTGAGATCCAAATCATAGTTAAATAGTTGTTTTGTGCTGTGAGTAGAAGACTGCACTGAACTATTAATTATCCAGAGCTCAGAACGTATTATTAGCCTTCCCTGCAAGGGAAGATGAGGAAGTGAAGTTCATTAGAGTTCTTCATGTAAAGCACAAGGGTTCAGGTGCTCGATTCTGACACCGCTCGAGTGACAGTGCTGGTTTGTTGAGGGGAAGAATAAGGGGCCTGGTGGCAGGCTCAAATGCTCACTGCACATAAACATGTCTTTCAGTTGATTTAGAATGAGAACTTAGACATCTGAGCTTCACCAGTCCTTTGACTAATCAAAATGAAAATTCATTTTTAAAGTCTGTGTTGAGACTTTAACTGTTTGTTTTGTGGTCAGCTGATATTGCAACTTAATCATGAATTGAATTACAGAAATCTTAACCTAATGGCCTTAGATAAGCAATATGGACAATTTTAGCCACAATACTAATTATAGATTTATTCTGTTATTGTTGTTTAATTCAGGCCTTTAGTGGGTTACTCTTTTCTTAGCCTTTCCTATTTTCATTAAAAGTGTTTGTGATAACCTTRCTGAGGTTTGAGTTGTTATAAATGCAAATAAGAAATAGTCCCATCCTTCTGTCTGCCTGGGCTCACTCATGTGGACTCACTTGTAGGTGACTACTGGAGTGAAGTGACTAATTTTCACAGAAGACAAATAAAATCGTTGATTAAGGAACAAATAATATCATGTTGGTTAAATTTGTGTGTTAATGTTTTAATGTCTGTGGCTTTTATTTTGCAGCTGGAGAATGGTATTTCCTGGCATAACCCAGAGCCCCCAGAGAATATAGGAACCGAGAAGGACAGAGCAAATTGCCCCTTCTATATTAAAACTGGTTCCTGCCGATTTGGAGACAGGTAATCACTGAATATTTACTAGCATAAAAATGTTCTGGAGGAATGAATGGGAGGCACCTCCATTAGGTCATGTGCAAACTGAAGAAATATTATTTTTTAAATTACTGCCATATATTTGGATGGGATATCCATTCTGGAACTAGACATYGAGTGCAAACCCATCGAGTCAGGTGACTGGAAGTGAAGCTTCTATTATTATGGCATATTGAGAATAAATTCTGATTCTGGAGGTCAARCAGACTTTAATTCAGCTCAGGCAGACACACAGGTACATTAATCTTGGATAGAGTTTTGGCTGTCCTATCTCAAAAAGGAAAGAGAGAAGCAGGTGAGAACAGAGAGGGAAAACAAGATGATCTGAGATGAGGAAAAGCTTCCATAGGAGGAGTGACTGAATAGTCTTGGTTCTTCACTTTAGAAGGCATGGTGAAGGATGGATGTGGTAGAAGAACATTGAAGCTGTTAACAGGATGGGAGAAGCTGTCCCTGACTGAGCTTTTATCAGCTTAAAATACTTTWATGCAATGTAATTGCAGAACTTGTGGCACATCCTGTTGCCACAGGAGGTAGTGAAGGCCAAAAGTACAAACAGGTTCATGTAGTTCATCAGGGACCATTAGAGATGATRACCCAAATCTAGCCATATTGAAGTGCCTGAATTTGTGTGGTAAGGAGGAACATTACCTGAGCAGGGAAAGACTGAAATACTTTCTATTTTACACTGACRGTTTAACTAATAAGGCTATTTTTAACTTGTAATAGTTAACTAATAATTAACTTGTATTGCTGAAATTACGTGATCCATCTATTTTAATGTTCTTTATTCTAAAAGGAATTTGTTTTAGAGTGATCTACATTATGGATAATTATGTGATAATTTAACTCTCTAGAAGCTTCAAATCTCTRTCTGGCCTGTATTCTGAAATAGAGGCTAAATTCTTAAACAAAATTTACTGAACTTAGTATCTGCAGTGAAATAGCTGATTTGTTTGTGCATTCAACTTTTAACATTTAGCTCTTTGTCATCTTCAGTTTTTGTACTATTTAATGTAGACAACTTCAAGAAGTTGTGCAGAACTGCGACCCCGCTTAGCAAATTAATACCGAGAAACAYGTTCTGCCCTGTTCCTCTTGTCCATAGCTGCTGGCCCAGTGCAGCTCCCTCCCCTTCCCTGTCTTTCCTCCTTACGGACCTGCTTCTTTCCTGCTGTGGTCACTTAAGGCCCTGACGTTGACCAGGAGCTGGTGGACTGAGGTGCAGCGAGGSTGAGGACTGGAGAATGGTGTGAAAACTGAAATGGGAAAAGCGGTGATGATTTGGGGACAGCATTGCCAATAAAATAACAGCTGAACCTTGTCAAAGTTTACTGTGTTTTGAGGAAGAGCTGTTTATCTTCATTAATTTCCCCAGTGACTCATACTTATTTTTGCATCGTTTTCTTTCTTGTGGCTGATACTGTTTTGCCTGCCCTTTTCCCTGTGCGCCACTGGTCTGCCATTCTCTGTGCAGAGGGTATTAGTTGGATGTAATACTCTGAGTTCTATAAGCCATATAAAACACTGAAATAAGGCATTTTAACAAAAGAAAATCAAACTTACTGTCTCTCTCTCTCTCTCTGTTTAAATTTCCTATCTGAAGTCTAGGCAGTAATAGCCTGTTCTAGGACAGGCTTCCCCCCAGTTGCCTGTGCTTTGCCCCTGCTAGATAAGAGAGTGGACTGGACTGGCTGTTGCTCTGATCCTGTCACAAACAGCACAATGTGGTAAAGAGTGTGTGGCTCCCTTGCTTGGGCAGGCCCTGGAAACTGAGATTAGAGAGCACAGAGACATACACGGGAGGCAAACACCTGTGTTCTTACCAAGGCTAAAGGTTTGTGAGGAAGAATTGATTCTTTGCATATGAGGGAGGTAGCCTGAAGATGATATACAATAAAGGAGTTATTAAAGGATTTAAAAAATAGTTTTATGATATCCAGGAAAATGCAGATTAAGACAAAACTTTTTCCTAACAAATGTAACGAAAAAAAATGGAGCAAATCCATCTGGTACCTATCCATCTTCAGGTCTATACCTGCCACCTGCCCCGCTGAAAGTCTTTAAAAACAATTTCAGGAAAAGTTGTTTAATTTGCTAGGTTATAGGGGAATGTGCTTCTGAAAAGTCTATTTTGATAATTGAAATGTGTTACTCGTTCACAGATGAATCTTTTGTAATGCAAAGCTGTTATTCCAAATGGGAAACATTTGCAGTTTCAACAGGTGTGGCCTTTGTAAAATTGAAAATGCTTCTCTTTTTTTCTCCTTCCTTCCCTGCAAATGCGCAGGTGTTCCCGCAAGCATAACTATCCCACCTCCAGTAAGACGCTGCTCGTCCGAGGGATGTTCCTCACTTTCGGCATGGAGCAGTGCCGGAGAGACGACTACGACACGGACGCGAGCCTCGAATACAGCGACGAGGAGACCTACCAGCAGTTCCTGGAGTTTTACGAGGACGTTCTCCCCGAGTTCCAAAACGTGGGCAAGGTCGTTCAGTTCAAGGTACGCAGCAGCTCGCTGAACTTTTACCGGGCCCCACATGAGGTGGGTTTCACCAGCCCTAACTGGGTGCCATACAGTGTGCTTAGGTAAAGTTTTGTGCACCTTAGAGAACATCATGGGGTCTTTACTGCAAACGGCACGTCTCCTATGGCACCCGTGCTCCTGTCGCTGCCCTTGGGGAGCACAGCCCCTCTCAGATAAATCCCCAGCCCCCTGGCCCCAGACTATAAACGCTGATGCAGAGGCACAACYGCGAGTGACGCGGGCAGCGCTCTCAATGATCCGCTTGCCTCAGGTCCCCTGTGGTGGAGCCCAGAGGGCTGAGGGACTCTTGGAAAATACAGGGCTTTGTCAGCTACTGCATCCGTGCCCTTTAAAGCAGCGCCCTGATCAGTGAAATAGTGGGCAGTAAAATGTGTGTRCAGTGTATGTGGAAGAATGTAATTTCAGGGCTGCTGGCATGACAAAAACAAATGTTGATGAACTGAAAAAGTAGTGGATGTTTCAGGAGCAGGAATTAATTTGAACTGTCTGTGTTAGAAAAAAGGTATGCTATATAAAGAGTGCTGAGGAATTCCATCCATTCTGAGTTTATGCATCAGGTTTGCTGAATCTTTCCTGAATTCTTACCATTTATACTGTGATTTCATATGGGGAATAAAAAATATACCTGTAAGTAGAGACCTCGGATAACTGTCCCAGGCTGCCCCAAAAGGTGAGATGAAATAGTGAATAGTGAAATACCCTGTGCTAAAACGTTCTGCAGCACTGCATTGTGCTTGCCCTCCGCAGGGATCCCCTGAAGTTGCCGGGAGGCACGGAGCACCTTTGCTCCTTCTGTTGCTTGCTATTGACTGCTACCTCAGAACTGAAGTTTTATTAGCATTTCAAGCAAGAGGAAAGTAAAGTAGAAAAAGTGAATTTTCAGTGCTTGTATTGATGGGTGTTTTTAAGTAAGAAAAAGCCATTTGTGTGGAAAAGTATTTCCTTCYTATTTTTCACTCATGGAATAACAGCAAATATTTTTCCATACTATAACATGGTGTATAGATTCCCAATGGAGTGTGGGTTAAATGCTGCCTAAGTTGAAGAYATGAGTTGATGGTTACCTTTGGGGTATAATATGTAAATATCTGTTAAGCTGCATGTACTTAGGTCTGCAAATAACCAAGTAAGAGCTTTTAGTGTGGAATTCCTCAGCTTCTGAAGCAAGTGTGAAACTGTAATGGGATTCTCATGGGCATTCTCATTTTATTATGGATGTGTAGGAATGGCCTGTTGGCTACAGGGCTCTCAGCTATGAGTGAGTGGAGTCTCTGCTGCRATTTGGATTCACTTTTTTTGCGCCCTTCTCCAACAGATCTCCCTTTCCAAAGTAGCCTGCGGTTTTACTTCTCTTTCTGGAGCATTACTCCAGAATCTCACTGGAAGATTCTGGCAAAGCACAATTCTGCTGGTTTCCCACGTAAATGTGTCCATGGCAAAGTCCTTTTTGCCTGTTTTTGTCTCGCCGTTGCTGTTTATCTCATAGCTCACCTGCTTGCTCTGTCACATTGCACTATATAATGGCACGTTACTGCTCAGGAGGCCCTGGCCTCCCCCGGTGCTCACGGGTGAGTTGGAGTTTGGTGATGAGAGAAGCAGCTGGGCTCATGTGGAGCAGAGTGAGGGGAAGGGCCGGGGACCAGCGGCTGCTCTCGCGCCTCTGCCCTGGAGAAGGGGCTTCTGGCCAGTCTTGGGGTCCCTGACCACTAGCCACAGGCACTTAGAAGTTAAATGGGGCCTTTCCAGGAGGTTCGGAGATACTTGGAACACTTAGGTGGTTACGAAAAAGGCTGTTTCAGAACTGGATGTTCAGAGCTTGTCACTCCAACCTTCTTTGCAGCTCWTCTTGCAGGGACGCTAAAGAGCTGAACTGTTCTAGAGACTCTTTAGCCCTAATGAATGCAGAGTAGAAGCTAATGGSGAGGCTGTTAAAAGCTAATGGGAAGGCTGTTAATTGTTTCTAGGGCAGGATTTGGCTGCTGCTCAGTAGGGCTGGTGCAGACGGAGGTGCAGGGCAGCTGAGTACAGGCTGGATGAAGCAGAGGTCCCAGCATTAATGGAAACAAAATGCTGGCAGCATGCAAGCCTAAACCAGAAGGGCTTTTCAGTGCTTTTATTTGCCTAAAACTAAGTGTTTGGATCAGAAGAACCAGAAATTCTGCATATGTTCGTACTGTTAACGCTGTCCTAAATCAGAACAGTTGTCAGCTCCACATGCCTGAGCCGGGGTGTCCAGCGTAGCTCTTCCCTTGCCCTAACCTGCCATTTCCTTCCCCTTAGGTCAGCTGCAACTACGAGCCTCACCTGCGAGGGAACGTGTACGTGCAGTACCAGACGTAAGTGCCCAGCGCGCGCGGCGGCCGGCGGCGCTGGCGGCGCCGCGCTTCCCGCGAGCCGGGGCCGGCCGCTTGCGGCGCGGTGACGCGGCCGCCACGGCCTTCCCGCCCGCAGGGAGAAGGACTGCCAGGCGGCGCTGGCGCTCTTCAGCGGGCGCTGGTACGCGGGGCGACAGCTGCACTGCGAGTTCTGCCCCGTGACCCGGTGGAAGACGGCCATCTGCGGTGAGTGCGGCCGCCCCACGCGCCCGCCCAGCGCAGCTCGGCTTCCGCYGCCTCTGGGCGGGCAGCGACACGTGTGTGTGCGTGTGTCTGGAAAGGGAGTATGGGGACCACGTCACGGAAGCGCCCCAGTCATCCTAGTGGCTGTACATTGCATGGGAGGAGGAACTGCATCCCCACTATGGGTATAATAGGGCACAGGAAGGGCTAACTTAGCGCTTCCGAACACACCAGGTGCTTCTGACCCTTCAGCAGGTCTTAGCAGTAATTAACATSTTTGAATTCCTTACATGCACATTCTTAGGATGCTTAAGGTAGCAAACTTATTTATTAAGATTGTTTTAAATACGTTTAAAATAAGTTTTAATAAGCTCTTTAAAAAAGGGCTTTAACTAAAGTTTGACTAAGCCCTTAGTAGTTTAAGTTTGAAAGTTAATATTTAGAAAAGTTAACTACTGTAAAAATAACCTTGCATGAATTCAGTTAATGGATCCTTGGATGCATCCTTTTTCCCTTGAAAAAGGCAGCACAAAGTACGTTTTAATTTCCAGTAGGCACATAATCAAGAAAAAAAATAAWAGTTAGGCCTGGCTCATGATTGCATTCGTGCCCTGTTGGTGATAGATTTTAATTAAAAAAATGAAAGAGGCAACRGCTAATAATCTGTTGCAGGCCTGTTTGAAAGGCAGAAGTGTCCACGAGGGAAACACTGCAACTTTCTTCATGTATTCAAAAACCCGAACAATGATTTCTGGGAGGCCAACAGAGACATCCGCGCCTCTCCCGAGCGGACTAACCAGTTGTCTAAGAACTCTGAGAGGAGAAGCAGAGCGAGCCACCGGGACGACTACTACAGCCGGTCGAGGAGAAGGGGCAGCCCCAGCCCAGAACATTCGTACCGGAGAAACGGGGAGTCTGAGAGGAAAAAGAACAGCCGCAAAAGCAAGAAGAGGCACCGCTCCGGCAGGTCGAGAAGTCGGGAGAGGAGGAGATCCCGCAGCAGAGGGAGGAGGAGGAGAGGCCGCAGCCGCAGTCACAGTCGAACCCGCAGCAGGAGCAGAAGTCGCAGTTCGTCTCGATCCAGGAGCAGGGGTAAAAAGAGATCGAGCAGCAGAGGCAAAAATAGTGAGACTCCTAAAACAAAGTGAGAATTACTTTTAGAAATTGCTAATTGATCAAACTTAGAGCTGACTAATTTTTCCAATAGGGCGCCAGATATATTTGGGTTACAAATAAAGTGTTCTTGCACATTAAAATCAGTTTCTTCCTAATAAAGGAACCTAGTTTATTGTGTGCTAAGCTTCAGAAAAACTAAAAAGTTTAAGTCCTTTTTAAGGTGTGAATGTCAAGTACTCTAGCTACTCTGTCCCTCTGAACTACTGCAACATCTGGGTGCATTTGAGTACCAAACAGAAAGAGAAGTAAAGCTTATTTGGTACGTGCTTACTCCTGTGTTACGTGTGTGTTAAGTGTTCACTGTCCCCATAAGGAGTTAGTTCGGGACAGCCCGTGTGCTGTAAATTGTCACCTCAGCACACTGCAAAGTGAAGTCTGTAGAAGACAGCCCTGTGTATTTGCCTATGTTTATGGGAACTCTTGTTCTAGACAAAGTAAATATAATTGTGTTAGGAGCTGGAGAAATGGAATTTAAAGCTCCAGCACAGAAGAAGCTTCAGTTTTATTGTACGGAACTTGCCCAGTAGGAGCTTTGTGGTCACAACTGTTGGATTATTCTCTCTCCCGTGACTGAGCTGCTGAGCTAACTGCCTGTGAGGATTGTGGGAAGCCAACATTGCCTCGGAGGCACACCGAAGAATAATCACTTTATTTAGTACCTTAATCCCCGAGAATGGAGACCACACACTTGTAATGCCAGAGTGAAAATAGAAAAAATACTCCCTGTTGCATAGCATTTGTTGTTGAAAACAACCCCTGTAACTTGTGATGCAGTAGTGGAAAAAGTGTAAGTAACTGGAGATGCAAATGTAGTAGTAAAAGCTAAAGATGATTGTAATGATCTTGCAGAGTGGCTAAAGAAACTGAAGGATTTATACCTGATTTTATTTTATTCTATTTTATTTTTTTTTTTGGTGGGAGGACTGGGTTTTGAGGTGKTTTTTAAGACTTATTTTACATATAAGTTCAGGCACCCTACCACCTATCTTCCCTGCAGTCAAGATGGTGAGTGGGGTACATAAAAATGATGTTATCGGACAAAAACGTTTTTGAAGTGACAGCTACGTGCAGAGTAACTGCGCTTAGCAAAGTCCTCATAAGCAGTTCTTCGGTTTTTTGAATGAAAGGTCTGTGCTGTTAAGTGAACTGTACTGCGCCCTGCTTGATGGCAGGCATTTACCTTGGGCACCTGAGCATCCCGATGCCGTGGGAGAGGGGAGCGAGTGTCTGCAGGAGGCGTGTGGGGCACCCGGGCAGCCCCCAACTGTCCGCGGAGGAACCTCCCTCTCCTCAGCCCCTCCAAAGAACTTCAGGTGGGTGCAGCTGAGACCGCCCGAGTTAGAAGCCTCAAGCAGGCAGGAAATACTCCCAAATAGGTATTTCTTAGGACTTCAACAGTAGAGCGTAAATTCCGGTGGAAATCTGGATATCCAAGCTTCATTACAGCATTCCTCACAGCAGATTTTTTTTTTTCCCCCCAAAGATGGATAGAGTGAACATTTGCTTCTGGTTATATAAATATATATATATATATTTTTGCTTTTCTAAATGCTTACTGCACCTAGCATGCTGATTATACATTTTTCCTTCTTTCATGTGTAACTGTTGTCCACTATGGAGTAATACAATGGAAGTGCTATATATAGATGTTCAGTTCAAGCTCAACTTTCACTATATATTGTCATAACCGTAGGCAGAACTGTAGCTTAGTTAATTTGATTAAATGTTTTAGTTATTAACAGGTGTAGAAATTGTAATTTAATAGCATAACTTTTGAAATAATGTAACTTCATTCGAAAGGCATATTTTGAAGGATAGACAGCACTAAGTTTTAAATTCTATTTAAAAAACGACAACAAAAAAAAMCAATTGTGACAACCTGTTTCTCATACTGTATCTTTTCTGACTAGACCTTACGGACAGAGTGGGKTTTTTTTTYCCCCCCCTTTAAGTTTCTTTCCCCCCGGGTTTTGGTGTTCCCCTCGGTGCCCCCTCGCACGTCTCCCTGGGGCGCTCAGCGCCGCGGCCGGATCTCGGATCTCGGATCTCGCCGCGCGTTGGCCGAGGGGAGCGGGTGAGCGGCCAGGCGGGCCACGGGCTGCCTGGCTCTCACGACATTAGCCACCCGGGTGAGAATTCCTTGGATAACGAGGCGCCTTCCCACAGTTTTGTAATGGGATCCGGGAAGCTAAGCTGCTGGGGGCGGGGGAGGGAGGTGGGGTGTTGTTTTTAAATCTTTTTAAAAAGCTTGCTCAGAGATGCATGTAAAAAAAATTAAAATATACTTTATTTCTGTTACTATAATGGCTGAGACTGCAGCTTTTTACTTGAGATCTGGATCCAAAGTTACTGGCTTCGCCTGTGCAGTCCTGGGTTGGTGGTAGGGGTTAGAATTCATTTCCTCCCGCGGTCTGTTCAATGAACGGAACGGGAGTGCTGTAGATCTGACACTTGGTTTGCATTTATTAGYAGGAAACCTGGAGATTAACTGGTTTTTGAACTTCAAAATTCCTATATTTCAGTATTGTTTCCCTACTTCATAATAAGCTTAAATAGGGAGTCAGAGGCATGTCTAAGTCTGTTCAGACTAAGAAAGTCAAAGTTCTTAAATGTTAAACTGCTTTATTTTTTTTTCCAAAGGAGAAAAGCCACAGAACACAGAAAGGATTTAAATTTGCACAGAACAGCTTGTTCGCACTGTAGGTTTTTCTGCATAAGCCTACCCTACAAAATGAATTGGCCCCGTTTAGCTTTTCTCCCTGCCTGCTTCAGGCAGGGGCTCTCTGAGAAACCAAACGGATCTTCTGCTCCCGGGTCCCCAGACGCTACGCGGGAAGGGGGGCTGCTGTGTAGGGCCAGCCAGGCCCACTGCTCCCCACACGCAGCAAGAAGCACCACGCGGGAGGGAAAGCCTCTCCGCTGCTTACCGAGTACCCCTGCCTTCATSCCCTCTGCCAGGAAGTCTTCCTCAGCTTTACTTCCCACGGCCACAGTTCGGTGTCTCGGCCGTGGCCCCAGAGTTTAACAGCTAGCAACCCCGTTCCAGTAGGGTCCTCCTSAGGGCCCTGTTTTGCAAGAGAAATTAATTGGAGAGCTGGTTGATAGAGATGATCCTGGTTGCTGCCCTGGATCAGCAGTTTGTGCCACACGTGACAATCTATGCAAGTTAATAACTTTAAAGCTTAATTTACTTTCTTGTATCATTTAAAAAGCACAGCTGATTCTGCTTTCACTTTGTGATTCCTTTTTAATTGACAGGAAAGGGGTCTCCATTATTCCACCTTCCCTCCTGTTCAGCACGGGTGGGTCAGGTAGCTGGATGCATCTCTCATGCACAGAAATTTGGAAATGACCCTGAGAAGTCAGGGGCCTCCTCACTTTACAAGGGCTGTAAGATTCATGAGGAAGCTGAAGACACTGTAAACAATCACTCAAGTAAACAGTCTAGAAAATGCCAAGGATTCTTTAACCAGAAAGGGGGGAATTGAGGTAGGAGTGGATTATTAAGCAACAGGCTTTTAATTAGATTCCAGAAATACCCTAAGAGAATCTCTCTGATAAATTTCTCCCTACACTGATACTAGTTCAGTTCTTTGCGCAAGGGCGAGAACAGGTTCATGGGAGACACTTGTGGTTGACGCTGGTGACCGCTGCGCTGCCTTGGTCGTGACTCCGTGTAAGGAACCGAGTATCAAGAACTCGTATTATCCAGAAAACACTCAATCAGCACAAGGTTTGTTTTAGCTTTCAAAGGAACTGGCACTAGTGCATCAATTAAACATCTGCTTTGATAAGCTTCATGTTTAATGTGATACACCCTCCAAAACTTGCTCATTTATTGCTTTCTGTAGAATTCAAATGGATGTAAATAACTAATCTTGGACACGCTATATTCCCACATTCGCACAAGAGCAGGTTAAGCATTAATAAAATTTCCCTGTTTTCTTAAGCTAGTACCAAGTAGCTTTTTCTTTGCTCTGTGGGTGAAAAAAAAAGGCAAACCAAAACGAACAAAATTAACAGCATAAAGACACAAAGCAATGGTGTAAAAATGGACATTTATTATGACTAAACTAACGTGATAATAAGACAGAGGTTAAATGGCTTATTTGTCACAATCACAACAAAGCTTAATCCAGCCAAGCACATACAAGTGACATGTAAACTTTAAAAACATGTTTGACACATACAAAATTGCTTGGGGTTTTACTTAAATTAAGGTAACGCAACCGCTTCAGTGTCACGCCTGGGTCTCTCCAGTGCCCCCTGCCCCTATCCCTGCCCACCGGGCACTGATGAAGGGCAGAGCGCTGGAGCCCCCAGAGCTGCCAGCTCCCCAGCCCTGCCCCCCAGCCCCTCTGCTGCCCCACACGCTGAGCACAGGGACAAGCACCAGGGAGCTGCCACACATGGGCAACATCAACCCCTTTCCATGCACCCTCCGATTCACTCTCCAGCTCCACAACCTGTGGCAGCTGCTGGGGCCCACGGGCACTTCCAGCTCCACAGGCAGCATCCAGCCCGGAGAAAACAGGACCACGTCCGTGAGGCCACCCGGTACAGGGGGCTGGCCAGAACACCGCGTGCCACAGGGAAATCTTCGAGGGCAGGGAGGCCCATTGCCTGACTTGACTTTGCCAAGTTGCAGCTCCAGAGTCTCATAAACAAACCTAATTTTCAGACATTCTCATTCCAGAGCAGGTTGTTGTCCCCTACACCAAGGGGCAGTTTCATGAAGGATGCAACGCTTAGGCCTAAGGGGTAAGCCACGAAAAGGAGCCAAGATGAAGCTGACCACTTGGTGTTTACTTAAAAGGTGCTCATACACACCCTGGAGCCTAACTACACAACAGCAATAAATACAAATTCATTTCTAGAATTTGAACAAAAGATGAGAAGTCCCTTTTATCAAGTTCCCTCTTTTACATGATCAAAATGATCCCAATTTTATTATGTATGCCCCTGTTCAGCTAGAAAGGGCAGTTCCCTTTTCCTGTTTACAGAGTCAGCAAATATCAGATTTTAAAAATTTCCCTCTGTGAAAGATAGTGCTTTTTATTGGATGCCTCCCCTTAATCATAAAGCAGCTTGCACAATTTTACTCAGGCTGATTACAGCAAGAAACACTGAAAAACACTTCAATTTCTTATGAATGATCAGTTTGAAGTTTTCCGACTAAAAGCAGAGTGATCTTAACAGTTTTGACCAGTTTGACAAGCAGATCCTAAGAGGATTCTTTGGTATAATGACAAATTCAGTAGTAAACAGTTATTTCCAACTTTTATGTAACAATAGAAATAAAGCAGAACTATTACACGTGTTGACTTAATGAAGATGAACTGCAGTCTTTGGTTGCATAAACACAAGTTCTACACCGTAACATTTTAAATTTTAATGTTATCCACGTAATCTCTTCTCATTTTGAKATGCTATGTCACGATACACTTAGTTCCTGAAGTTGTTTGCTTATAAAAAACAGTACGCTTATTGAAGTCAAATGCAATAATCCTATAAATGCAGTGAAGAGAGATGCTAATTTAATTTGCTTCTAATTCCCTTTTATTTATGATTTTTGGACTTGAATTTCTGTTCCCTTTTCAAAAGAGCATTTTTCTTGTAGGCCCGAATGAAGCAGCTTAGCAGAACAGTAATACTGACAAACAGCATCTTACACCATTAGCTAAACGTTACAATGAAGGCAGTGAACATTTACAGTATGAAACACTGAGATGCCATCAACTGACGAGGAGATCTATGTCAATCCAATCTCTTCAAGGACACTACGCGGGGTCTCTGCTTCCTGCGGAGGGAAAATGCGAGACAGCGGTGAATGGATCCCGTGCTCCCACCGAGCAGCGTCGCACATGGGAGTGAGTTAGTATGGAAGATGCTTAATTAAAAACGAGAAGTCAAAATAGGAAAATATAAAAGCTCTGCAGTTTGCAAACACGGCATTAGCTGCGCTTTTCAAAGAGCTGTTAATTAGATTGTCACGGTTCGCAGGAAGAGCTGCGAGATTTTCGTGCCTTTAAGCATAATAAAAAGAAAGCAATTCCGAGGTACCAGCAGGGAACAAATCACAGCCCGGTAACGGCAGCCGGAGTCGGGGAGGGAAGGGGAGGCATCCAGCAAGGGAGACCGTTAGTGCTTTGGGGGATAATTTGCTTCATTGGTCACAAAAATCTTCTAAGAATGAGTAAGTGGAATGATGGAATGACTGATGCAACTTAGATACAGTATCCCTTAAGCTCTCCATAAACCCTAGACTTTGGAGGGGGATGTTGTTTAATTCTTAAAACCAGACATAGGTACCTTTCCATAGGTACTTTCCATTCCTGGCATCAATAAACTGAGGTTTGCACAAGTGGAAGAACTGGGAGAATCACAAATGCACAWTTCTGCAGCAGCATAAAGCCTGGGGTGCATAAAGCACCTTAAAATGACAGCTTTTTTAGATTCAGAGCAGGTAGCTTTATACAAAACGCACCACAACGGGTCATCATCAGTTTTGCATTTATTATTTCTAGACCATCTGAAAAAACACAGTCTGACTAGAGAGATTAAGCTGCCCATTTCCATTAATTAGCAGCAATCTCATAACAAATAAAAGGGATACTGTGTCCTTATGGAAACATAAGCCAGTTTAGCATCCAAAATATGAATAAACTTACTTTAGCATCCTAAGACAAGACATGTCATGAAGCAGGAAAAAGCCAGAAAACAATTAAAGCGGCAAACATTTCTTTTTCAACTGCTTTCTAAGCATCTCTCTCTCAAAAAAACCCCACTAATTTGTCAGTAGACCACATACTTAGAAACCTTAAATCTTGCAAATAAGATCAAGCATTAGACTGTCTCTATCAGCCTTCACTTAGGTAGCATGATTGAGCTTACAATCTTCATTTGATTCATGTATTGATGATTCAGCGTTAAAATGTACATATTTTAAAGGTAACTTCATTTTAAAGTATGTGTTTGGAAAAAGCCAGTGCTGAGCAACTTGAGACTAATATTTGGCTTCCGAATCCATCAGCAAGTAACAAATTCCAAGAAATGGCAAGTGGGAACTGGAACTAAGAAACTGGGTGTACTCAGAATGTGGCTTTTTCTCCCTGATGCAGTATTTGAATATCCTTGGAACTGCAGTGACCTTGATAATGCTGCTGCGCTGGTTTATGTTAACACATATTTCAACATATCATCCAGTAGGTAACACTGCTTGAAGAGGGACTAGAGTTTTTAATATGACCTGTAATATTTTCGGATGATAGACTCCTGCATCCAACTGCAAGCGTGTACAGTAGAAAATCCTACACTCCTTAGTCCGCGATCATCACAGAACTCAGCTCTACGGCAAATAAAATAACTTGCCAAAAACGTTAAAGTCCTGAAAATGTTTGCAATATCATACAACTTAAGTTTTAAATTGATTAGACAGTAATGGACATTTACAGTTACTCACTGAAATCAGGTATTTGCTAAGTTACCGGAAAAAAAGCTGTTCAATGAATATATAATATTCATATGAATATATGAATACCAAGGTTTTCTGCAACTGTGTTCAGAGCAGTTTAGTTACTGTTTCCAATGCCTTCTCAAAGTTGCCACCAGAAGATACCATTCAAATCAAGCTGATGATTCACCAAATAAATCAAGGATGTTGCTTTAAACCCATTGTCTACTAATGAGTTTCAAGGACATCGGCTACTTTTCCATGAGTGGACCTCAGCAGTAAACCTAAAATTAAGTAATAACCTTTAAATTTTATAGAGCTACAGAGGTAATCTTGAGCAGACATGCCTTCTTGCGTGCATTTCCACAGTACCTTCTCAAAAGGAACATCTAAAAACTAAAAGGTTTTGCTAGAATAATTTAATCAATTATGACTTTCAGAAACAAGCAGATTTAATTATATTACATTTCACTCATGTTATTTGTTTTAGGAAGTGCCAAACATTTTATCCAATTGTTACAGAATGCAGTTTGCAATATTATACACTACCTGCAGCTCAGAATCACCCAAGGCAAACAATGCAAATGGGAAACATATCAGAACACAGATGAGGAAAAAAGCCATTCACAGGAGACAAAAGTGCATGCAATACTTTATTTCCAACATGCCAGGAAAGCTAATTCATTACCTAGTCATTTAGAAGCAAGCAGCTGTATACAGATAACAAGAAAAACAGCATCTCATTACAGCTCAATGCACAGCATTTTAAGCCAACAGGCATGAAATAATGCAGGCTAAAGCAGCATTACCCACACATTCACAAACCCTGTTCGTGTCTTACAAACAATGAGGCAACCTTGGAAACTGGAGAGCCACTCCTATCAGCTCGTTTGCAGCAAGATTTCAGAATGCTGCGGGTCTCATCCAAACATCCCACCCCTAAACCTCCCATTTCTATGTCAGCTTAAAGTTTGAAAGGTAGTGCATTACCACATATACAAAGTGGAACTAGCTGTTTGCAGTTAGTGTCAATAACCAGCTCCTTGATAATTATGTGGTTTTTAAAAGTCAGATTTAGGTAACAAAACATCCACTTCTAGGCAAAGAGAGGATGTGCTACAGGCCCTCTCACTCTACCTACCCCCATGACAAGTACCTTTCAGTTGAATCATTCCCTGCATGGCAGTTCTCTTTAATACACACGCTACTTTGTACTTAAAAATGGAAATGCCAATTCCAGGAGTCTAGTATTTAAAATTTGCTCCCAATGAACTGAATAAAAAAATCCAACTCTTGCCACTGGCAAAGCAGTGAACTTGTCCTATCTTTCAGTAGGAGCAGTTGCTCTACTACTCTCAGCAGTGGTGTCAACGTTTAAATGCAAACATTGCAACTTGTAGAACTGCATCATTTTCTTAGTCCTAACCAATTCCCTCTTCCTCCTCTTTGCAAGGGAGGTCGAGCTACCGTGTCAGTGTCAGAAAAGGCTACCAGCATCTGCATCTTTATGCCTAAGATGCGCTAAGATGTGCAGAACTATGTGCAACTTCATGTAACCTCTGTGCGTGTATGTGCCCYCCACGCAGTGCTACTCCTTCAGATCACTAGTTCGTTGTAACTATTAGTCTACAGATTTTAATCACATGTTGAAACGCCAGCGTAACTTACTCAAAAGTTAAATACATTGTAACATTACTTGACCTGTAAGTGCTGCAATACCTGGGCATTTAGCTTAGAAAATTCTACAGACCTTTTAAATAGAAGATTTCAAACTTATACACAATAAAAAAGTTAAACCATGTGCCAACAAGTTTTGAGATGAGACATGTGAAAAGACAACACTGTAGAACAGAGGAGGAAGAGGGAGGGTACAACAGCACAGAGTGGTTGTGATATTCTACTGGATTCGAGATGATGGGATTCACCAAGCTGAGGACAATGTTCTGCCATGAGTAAGTCACGGGTCTATCTCCTCTGCAATTCTGCATGCAGGATGAAGTCATTTAGTACACTGGGACATTAAAGTATTCATGACGTGGCTACAAAAGAAATGTATATACTCTTACTCTCATGTGGACAGATATGTAAGAAAATAAAAAAAACAAGAAAGGTTATCTCACTATTATAGCTCTAACACAAAAAAAGACATTTGATACAGAAATACAATATTCTATTTTTGACTACTCTACACTTTTTGGGGAGGGGGAAGGGGGGAAAATGGCTTTGCTCTCTCAGTAAGTTCTACCAAACATGACAGCAGTTAAGACTTTAGTGCATGACAGTGAAACACAAATACGAGCTGTAGCTCCTAAAAGCTCTCTTGCTATTTAAAACCAAGCGTTAGCCTGCACTAAACATCAACATACAGGAGATTTGAGGCATGTTCTCAACTGGAAAGGAAACTGTGAGCTGAGAGCATCCAGTAACAGCTCCAAGTAGTGGATGTTTTGAGGAAACAGGAAAGAGCATCTCTGCCATTGCTGAGGCTTCCACCGGCAAAACATTCCTAATGAGATAATCACGGAAAACTTCTGCTTTATTCATGCTGGCTTCACAACACCAATCTAGGAACACAACGGGAAAAGGTACACTCTAAAATGTCCCATTTTCCTCATTTATATTTCAAATCAGTTATAATTTCAGGGAGTCAACATCCTCCAAGTAAAACTTTCAGTACATGATATGGTACCCTGTTGACTCAGTGCTAGGGGGTTAGGGCCTCCTCTTGACACACTTGTTATTCCCCACTGATGATGCAACATGGATTGCCAGCCAACATCAGGAAGAAAGCGGYTGCTTCACCCTGGCAGCTTCTGACCCTAAGGAGCACGTGGACACCACACACAAGTAGCCCAGTGATAAACTAAGATTATGACAACAAAGTTGTATTGCAAGACAGAAACTTTGCCGCCTCAGTCAGAGCTCCACAGCCCGTGGAGGACGTGGCAGACCCTCAGGTGTGCAGGGGGGCAGCACCATGGGCAGCCCCCGAGCAGCAGAAAGGGGGATAAAGTTTCGGCAGCTGCTAAGCRCTTTCAGAACACTACATTTCCTCATATGCTCATTTCCTCAACTATAAATTGCTAAATTTCCTCCTGTGCTCCCTGCTATATCGYCTCCAGAGCAGTTGGCCTGCAAGTCTGGAGACCATGAAAACAAACCCAAGAGAAGATGACACAGCAGTCGCTACAATCAGCATCTCCGTGACCTTCCTCCTGCGGGGCTCTGCAGACATCAGACAACATGTGAAGCTCCTTTTTAAGACAGTGGCCAAGCTACCTGCATCTGATGAACTAGGGGGGGAGTGGATTGAGCAGCTACAAGGGGCAATGGTGCCCCTACAGTGATAACACATTGAYAGATTATGTCATGGAATACTACTTCTGGAAAATCAACACTAATAAAAAATGTGTATCATTTATCAGGYCTTAACACCCAGGGTTTGGACCCTCGTTTTGCCAGAACACTGATAGCACAACAATATCAAGAAGGGCAAAAGATGAGCTTTCCAATTCCACAATATTTGAGTTATTGGAGCCTAGCTTTTTCAAAATGAATCTGTGTTTGCAAGTCATTTCAAAAAGCTAATAACATTCTGAAACTTCCAGCCTAAGTCACTAGAGACTTGTAAATTAAAGAAAGAGAAAAGGTTTGAGTCAAAAATATTAAGCTAGCTCAACCAAGCTGACTTCTTCCTCGAGTATACTGTCCTCTCTACTTTGCCAAAATCAAACTAAAACTAGAAGAGACTTAGCTCAATCAAGTCCCCCAACTAGGATTAAATATACATTCAGCATTCCTGAGATACTGAATCTCTTAAAGACATGTAGTCACAGACACTTTAATGTCACCAGATATCCACTTAAGTGCTTCATTGTCTCTATTGCTGGAAAGATTTCTGAACATCTGCTTTGAATTTTTTCGATGCAACTTAAGTTATTTCATCTATATAGCAGACAAGAAATTAATTCATTCTCTGCATTCAAGAGAGACAAATAGTAACACCTGCCTACACCAAACAGACTGAAGTTAGTGTTTCGTGCTGCTCACGTTTTAATGTCTGAATACTTCACACACTAGCAAAATAGATTTCATGAATAGTGTGATAGCCTCTTTTTCAGGCATTTCAGGCTTAGGCTTTTGTCTCAACTTTTCCACTGAAATCAGCACAAAGCCTACAAATGAAAGCCATATTAAACTAGAGGCAAAAATATAATGGCTACTTTT